AATTCATGGTTCGACAAACAGGAAAATAATGAGAGCTTGTGAAGAGGTGAGAAGTTTCATGAAACATATTTGAACAAAGGCACTAGGCTGAGACACGTTTCATTTTGATAAAGGGAAATTGCATGAATTATATGAACATAAACTATGAAGATGTTTGTACTTAGAATAATTTTTGAGGGGAAAAAAAGAGAGATTTTGTGAAACATTTGATGCCTTATAGCAATTGTGGTAATACTAAAAAATATGTACAGCATATCTCCATATTTTAGAGAACATAGGCTAAATCCTTAACTCACCACAGTATATGCTCAGTGTGAAGAAAAGTACTTCAAAGGCAAGATAAAACTGAGTGAAATACACCTACCTTGTAAACATCCTAGGCATTATGTAGAGTAGCAGAGCAGAGGCTCTATTTGCTTGCAAAAGGGACTGAAAGAACAGAATAACAAGAGTATTAAGCTGCCAGCATTGCTTCTTGAGCAAGGGGGGTCATCTGAGCTCAGTAGCCATGTAAGAGTAAGGCAGTTTGGAGTCTAAAGCAGATGCCTGGGCACCCCTGCTGCAGCAGACCTATGCATCAACACTTCCCATGGGGACAATCTGTTCTCAAAAAGCTTTGAATTTATGCCTAACTTTACTTGCCCAGAAGGTAGATGCATTGAACTATCCACTTGTTTTCTTTCTGACTACTCATGCAGAAAATAAGTGTCAAGATGAGTGTGTCACATTGGGGTGCCTTGCACTGCTGCTCTGGGCAGCCAAAGCAGCTCTGCACTTGAATGAGGCTTGCTGAACAGGGTAGAGAACAGGCTGTGGAGCTGCATTATGAATTGCTTGGACATCAGTTCCCAAGTCAAACTCTGGATTTTGAATGATAGATAAAGCCTATTGCTGGATCTAACTCAGAACCTGTGAAAATTAGACCACCATCCATTTTTCACCTTGAGTCACGTGTTACAATAAAAATCAGACTTTTTTTTCCAAATCTGTGGGTTTTAACCAAGTCAACACAACACTGTGTTGTACCATGAATAAATAGGAGTCATATGCAAGCTACCAACTTCAGGCACCTATTTAGGTTTTGCCATATCTAGAAGGCGGGTTCTCAGCCTCAGCAGAGTCATTTAAATCACCATGTGAAGAGTTCTAACTACATCCTATTCAATCAGAGTAAGATCCAGGTGCTTCTGAAGGCTTCGAAAAAGCAAGTAAAAAGGTTTGTGTTGGAATCACCATACCGGTCACTGTGTGAGAAGTACTTCCATAGAACTATCCATGGTGTCAGCACACACACTTATCAATGCTGGATTGTTGTTGCTAGCATATGGCTGTTCCCAGAAAACAAAGAGTACAAAATCTTTTTGATTCTGTTAGACAGGTAGATAATTACTTGAATGTTACTGACAGTGAAAGCAAGGAGCTATGAGAGTGATCAGAGCAGTGTCACAGTTTTGCCAATGCCAAAGCATTTTATTAAACACCAGAAAACACTTCTAAGAAAGGACACATGATGTTTACAGAGGTAATAATCCAAGCCTTGTGCATAACTTGTGCACAGAGCCATATGAAAGGCAGCTACAAACTTCTAAATTTTCTGTTGGTGACATAATGTTTCAGAACAGTGTAATTTTTTTGCCTGTTCATTTGGGGTGATCATTAATGACTAGAGTTTGCACAAAGAATGAATAAACACTGTGACAAACAGGGAAATATCAAGACAATTTTACTGCCTTGTGCATACCTCTTCTATGTCTTGATAATTGCTACTTTGCTGTGTGACTGGTCTTCAGGAAGAAAGAGGAAGAAATTAAAAAGCAGCAAAGATCAGACTGTAGCCCAAGGTAAATAATGTCAAAGATCGTAAGACAATGGTGGATGCCTCATCAGTTGTGAAATAAACACTTTGTTTAGGATCAAAACACATACTGAATTGTAAATATGCTGGTATTAGAAAGGTGGAATTGTTTCTGGATTGTCAAATGGACTGACAGGCCTTCTTACAGAGACTTGCAGGGGTTTGTCTAACTGTGTGTTGAGATGCTTTGGCCATCATTGAGACGATATTCATAAGCAGCCCAAACAACAGACCTGAAAGCCCTGCTTAGCTAGTGGTAGAGGTTCCTCGAGAAAAAGAGGGACCAAGGCTAACCCTCGGAAGGCCTGGAAGAGCAGCCATGCTCATGCAGAGCAGCTGCTGCCCAAAGTTCCTTGTGGAACCCACATGGACCATCACAGCCACCCCAATGGAGAGCAGGAGACACAGACAAGGGGCACGGGGAAGGATGAAGAAGTAGACATGTGCAGGGCTAGACATAAGCTGGTACTGGGGCGCCTACCTGCCCTGTTAGTGCTTGGGGAGGGCTTTCCCTGGGAACAGACAGCAGCTTGGAGGCTGTAGCTTAGCCCCATCTGGGAACTGCCAGGGATTTGAACAGCTGGAGCTGCTAAAGCAGACAAACTGACCCCAACTCAACCCTGACCTCAAGGATGAACTCGAGAGGGACAGAAGGGATGCAAGTACATCTCACCTCGTAACTATGTGGTACACAACATGAGCTTCCACTGGAAAAATTCATCAGAATGTGAACTTTGATTTCAGTGGTGTTTTAAGCTGGAATTTTTTCTCCAAATTGCTACTATGCATTTCCCAAACTTTTTCCCAGGTCTACTCAGTGTTCTAAAGAGACATGACTGTTTCCCATACAAATCAAACAAGGTTTATAGGTTTTTACAAGCTTTATTGACATGTGGTATTGAGTGTCTGCCATAATTAGGGAAATTCATATCAGTGGAATATTAGAAAGAAAAAAGGTGATTTATTAGGAGCAGCATCTCTTCTTAAAGCTGGCTTAAATTTATAAGAATTTTCCAGCATCTGTCTAAAGATTTTGCTGACTTTTGTATTCCCAAGGGAGCAATAATTGCACCACACTGTTCTCAAAACAGTTCTGTAAAGATATACCATGTTAAGGAAGCCCTTTTATTAATGACACTGTACTTGGCAGTGATATAACCATTCAGAAACATGTTTATTTTAAACTTTCAAGTTGGAATCTCCTGTTTCACTGGGTTTACATGGTTATAGCTCTTGTGTTCTTAGCAGAATTTTTCCTAACTTATACTGGCATAAGAAAATAGATTCAAACCTTAGAGAGGCACTGGAAACACCAGTAGCATAAAAAGCTCTGTTTTTAATATGGTACTTATAAATGAGGGGGGAGATTTCCACACTGGGAGAGGTAACTGGAGAGGCTGATCAGATGTGACACCTGGAAAGTTAGTGTTGTGGAGTACTTAGCACGTTCTGAGGGGGGAGTTTAGGTAGTGTATATACCTATCAAACTAATTGCATAGTTTATTTTAGCTAGTCACATTTCTGGGTAGGGATCCATGTGTTATTGAGGCAGGATAGGCAGAGAGATGTATATTTTATCAATAAGATAAGCCAGTAGGAAAACTCATGAAAGAGTGCAAAGAAAAAGCACTCCTGACATCATTGTAGGCATGACTTATAGTAATAGCATGGAAGGAGAGATTTCAAAGTTTTGTATGAAGATATTCTACTTTTACTATTACACTTTTACAATTTAAAAATTAATTTTTTGTGGTCACATTTGATTTTTTCATGTTGACTTAAACATATTATCTACGTGGCTATAAGCCATCCTTCTTATTAAACTGATCTGCCAAAGATAGAATCACCTGTTCTTCAAAGCTACAGATGTTCCTTATAAAAGTACCTGTTCCCAAGAGTAATGAACTACTCAGAGTCATTTAAAAAAAAAAATTAGTATGCCTGAACATTAAATCTGTGAAGAAAACAATGCAGCAATACCAGTTCCTGAAAATGCTGTACAATGCTGTTCATGCCAAGATAGCATTCCTATTAGATTTAGAAGGTACCATGAAATTTTCAGGCACTTCTGGCTGACAAATAATATTTTTCATCTTTAATTTGCAGTTTCCCTGAAAAAGGAACTTGAAAAAATGTCCTCTAACCATTTGTGTCTGACTGTGCTTTAAGTCTGCTAATAGAAGCCCCTGAAATGGTTTACTTGAAGTGTTTCTGAATGACTAAATGTATGTTTTAAATAACAGCATGAATGTAGGCAAGGACATAGAACTGGGAAGAAATCTCCTCTCTTACTGAGGGTTACTGAATCCCATCCTTTTTTTCTGTGTTTCATGTCATTCTTTCATTTTACGCTCTCTTCCTCATGAAGCAGAGACATTTATACGATGAAATACACTGGCCTTAAGTGAAATTCTTCACCTGGGCACTTGGACTTTATGCAGTTGAAAGATTATTTGGGACAAAAAAATACCTATCCTCAAGAATTTTCCTGTACTTCATGTACCTTCAAAACATATATGATGTATGGGCATCTGTGACCCTGCCCTTCTTGCTCCATTTGCATTCCAGCACATTTTAAGTTTGTAAGCCTCTTGGTCATACATCAGTACCTGTTTTATTTGCGTATTCAGGTACAGTGGGCAGGTAAAAAGGTGCTTTGTTTATTTTCACCTGTAATAAAATGTCGGATCATTCCACCACCTCCTTATTAAATGAAATGGATCTTCTCCTTTGTCCTCAATGTCAAGTTGATCCACAGTGGTAACACAGCAACGATAAAACTTCAGGGTCTTCTGATTCTGCCATTACATCTGTTAGCTCACCATCTTTTTCTTGTACGACAGAGAATGTGATGAAAAACCATGGGACATCAGGAATAGACATCCTGGTACTCAAATATTATTTATTTAAAAAATAACAGGGAATTCTTCCTTCTAATTTTTACACTATTTACACTGGGACTACCAAGGCGTTTATGACACAAGCAGACACACACAGGTGCATTATACAGTTTGCAAACTGATGAAGCTCTGTCATACTTGATTTGTAGTCTTTATTTTTCCAGAACCACTGTGCAAGCTGTTCAAAAACACTAAGGAAGAGATTTTTAAATGCATCTTGTTCAGTCTGCTCTTGCATTTTGCAGCTGACACAAGTCTTGGAACAGATGATGTTTATGATGACAAAGGGTGCCAGTGTGACGTGTCAGTAGAAGATCTCACCCCTGCTCTTAAAACTGTCATCAGAGCAATCAGGTGAGTAAAAAGTACTGAGTTAATAAATATTTGAGATTCCTTTGGTTATGATACTAATAAACTGCATATCAGTTCATAAAATGATTGTTCGTTAAACTTATTACGTAGCTAATGCTAATATACTATGCTTCCTTTTTATCAGTATTTTAGTTAAATTAAAATATTTTATAGGTTCTGTTATCAGCTTTTCAATATCTAAAACTGTTATATGATTTTACACAGAAAAGAAAGAGAGTAATGGATATAATTTCCATTATATTTCCTGTAATCCAAATACAGTTTGATGTAATTCTACTGAATGTGTATCACCTTGCCTGGAAAAGTTATTTCCTTTAAAAGTGTATGGCTGTATTTCATTTCCATATTCCTGAAACTGTCATAAGACTTCTATTGCAAATTTCTTCTGGTAAGAGCAGAATAATTACATTCATTCAGTTGTGCAAAGCCTTGCCTACCACTATCTACTGAACTAAATATAACCCAAATAATTTAAAACTGATAGTCTCCTTATTTTCCAAGAAAGCAGCAAACTACATTGGAACTTATAAAATTATCTGTATTGAAAGTTTAAATTTAGCATTCACACTCTTGAGAATGCCAAGGCTCTACACGTTCCAGAATATTTTGAAGTGCAAATTCTGACAGGTAAAATCACCACCATAAAGTGTACAGCAACAAGCAAGGAGAGTTCAAGCAGGTTATTCCCAGTCACTGCATCACAGCTACATCAGTGTCCAGCACCCTTCTTGCAGGCAGGCAGGCAGGCAGGCAGACAGGCAGCAGCCAAAAGGAATTTCTGCAAAAACCTACAAAAAGATTATGTTTTCCTGCAGGGCAACTCTTGCCTGAGTCTTCTCAGCACCATAGCAAAAAAAACCCTCAAGGTTTTTATCAGTTAATTTCATACAGTGATAGCCTATGGGTTACTTGTATTTCCTTCCCCTTTTTCCGCTGATTAAAATGAAGACAGACATGAGTAAGGCTGTTTCTAAAACTTTTCTACTAGCACAGAGAGCTTGACAGATAAATTGCAGACATCTTTTCCAACCATTTTTCCAACCTTCCTGGAAATGACCTCACAGAACGTGTCAGATACCAGGCCTGTGCCCACAGCCACTGCAACTGGCAACTCAAATGTCACTGATGAGAACCGTCTCTTGCCAGAAATGTTTCAGCAGGTGACAGAAATCCTTCTACACAGTGGACACTCACCTACAAGGCAAGCCTATTCCCTCAAATGGAAAATGCTCAAATTAGGAACAATTAGCACAGTCCATTGACTTCAGTGCCAAAGATTCTTCTCTGCGATGCTGCATTTTAAACAGACTGGTTGACTCTTGGCTCTTGCACCTTGATAATTGTACAGGCAAGCAATATCACTGATCATCTCATTCTTAATACGATCCAAATTCCTTGAAGCTTGTTTTCTAAGGTGCCACTGAATTGTTCAATGCATCATCTGCATTTTTGCTTGGTTCTCTTGGTCATTATCAGTTCAAATGGAAAGTAACCAAACATGAAGTACATAGCTGGCAAATTTTCTCCACAGTGCCATTCACAGAATTGTTCTAATAAGAAGAGCAAAGATGCAAGAATTTGATTGTTTCATTCATGCACCACTTAACTAATGAGAATTAATTTTTTAGATTATCTCCCACTGTTCTCTGCATGGTTGGCTTACCAGAAAAGCAACTAATTTCAACACTGAGGCTGAGAATAAGAATCTCCACTTGATATCAATTAGCCATGATTCTCTCCCACCTCCTTCCAAATGTTAGCATTTCACTAGATTACAAGCGACACATACATCTTGCTTCATAAACATACCTTTTTTTGACCTGTGTAAAGCAGTAACATGCCATGATCTTCAGACTTCTGTTAAATGCTACACTTTAATCTCTCAAAATTAAGAGACTGATAATTCAGTTCATCAGGTATCTGATACACCTCTTTCTGATTATTCAGAGTATCTGTTACCTGGGATCTATGCAACATCTGAAGAAGGATCTGAGACTCTGTATAGTAACTGTAGAATTTCAAGATGATAACATCTGCCTATATGGAAACTTTGTGCCTCATTTTGAAGTTTGTTTTTAGAAACGGCTTTAAATTGCAAAGGCAGTGGGGGAGGGTGAAGGCTGTTTTTCCCTTTATGCTGGTGTACAGAAGCAGGTGAAGACAAGAAGGCACTTGCATAGCTTCATGAAACACTTTGAAAAGACCCCAAATATAAACACAGACAATTGAATCCATTCTTGATACATCAACTTGAAAAATTGTAATAAAGGAAAATAATTATTTTTCACTGCTTAGAGATGGGTATAAATTGTTTTACAATTACACTAATGGCCCTTTTGTTTTGGGGAGGAAATTAAATTAGCCAAATTAATTCATGCCTGTGGGTTTACAGAGGTAGGTCCTCTCTCAGTTTTGGAATCAAATGATTTGAACTTGGGTTTTTTTCTGTGAAAGGAGCCTAAAATATACTGCTTATTCTCAGGTTGGACAGCCTCAAAATAGCAAAGGACAAAAACTGGTTTATTTCTAGTCTTTAATTTTAATAATTTCAAAGCGTACTGCTTCAGTTTTGACCCTGTTTACTTACATTTTCTCCAGGACTACTTTATTGTTCAAAACAACTTCTTGATTTTAAATAAACAAATGCCCAAACTTTCATTTTGAAATGGTCAAAACAGACGACAGAGAAAATAATCCTTTCCTGACAAAGTTATTACCATTTTGGCCCTTTCCAAAAAAGATAGGACTCTTAACCAGTCCTACTAAGACCCTTAAGGCAGACCTGTCTGGTAACATGTTAAGCTGTCAACCTGCTCTCAAAGCCTCCTAAGGTGAGTCTTTCATCTCCTGTGCTGCCTCCTCCATCCCCCTTAATACAAGCTCTCTGTGAGGCAAGATCAACTGAAGGAGTAGGGAAAGTAAGGAAAAGCTGCTCAATGCATTTTAAGTGTTGGGTAAGTAGGGGACAGATGGGTAGTGTGGTGAAAGATGATGTGCTCCACAGCATGCCTTGAGCCAGAGCAGGACCAGTCCTACTCCTCTGCAGCCTCTGGCTGGGATCAGAGCAGTGCACAAAGCAGTTTCTGCTAGCAGGACACTGAGCCTTTGTGCCAACAGGTTTTGTAGCACTATATTCAACTGTCCCCAGTCTTGTCGTGAACAAAAAGCCACTAATATCCTGCAGAGTTCCAGGAGCTTAACAAAACCTATTAAATTTTCCAGCTCTGTTAGTTCAGAACGATGAATGTGTATAAAAGAGACTAAAAGGAAGATGAGGATACCTTGTTTCCATATATTGTGATATCTCTGATCATTTTCCATAGCAAGAGGCACGCACTTCTATAATACGCTCCACAATGGAAATCATGGAATTACTTCACTATTTACGGAATATAAAATAACATTTGAGAAGCATAAATAAATATGCAGTAGAAATAACTGCAATGGCAGGAAGATGAACGTACTGACGTAACAGGTTTTTTCTCTCTTTAGTGATTGCAAAGATATGTTTTCATTTGTTGTTAATAAAAAAAATAATAAATGTAGCTAAACATAATGAAACTTGATAGTTCTTGAGCTGATAAGCTGTATAGTTGAATAGTCATACATATTTAATAGACAAAGATGAAAAACATAATTTACCATTTATGTTCAGTCATTGCAATGTTTCTCAAACACCTATAAAATGTATTTTTAGCAGCCTCTATGAATTTGTTCAGTGTGATGTTTCAGAATCCCCTTTTTCTTTTAAAACCAAACACAAAATATACAAATGTATATTTTCTGCCCAGATGCTCTTCAGAGCCTAGGAAAGACTCTTAGGTATGTCTTTGGCTAGGACAGCACCGTGCTTGGGAAAAAACAATATCTCTGCCTCTAGGGAATGGATTAGCCAGGTCAAGACCTGAGAGAGGAGGCAATTTTTACTCATTCACCCCACAAGTAGTAGAACTGTCTCTTAAGCACGTTTGTCTGTTGGCATCTCTATAATGGATCCTGATCTCTTCTGCACATTGCTGTTTTACCACGACAAAGGGTTATTTGGCAAGGTAAGGATAGAGAGACAGAGGAACCACCACAGCTAGATCTCTTTGCACCTGCTTTCCTGATGGAGTAGGTGAGCAAACAACCTGTGGTCACCTCATCTAGCTATGGGTAAAACAACCTACCTGTCTTTTAATATTCAAGGCAGTAACTATGTATGATTCTACCTGAATCCCAGTAGAATGAAACTCTGTTTCTTCCTGAGACAGTGACAAGACTGACAAGACACACGTTTAAAACTAATAACATGAGTATGAAAGGGCTGCACAGAGGATTAGGAATGTTCTAACTTGGTGCCTGTCTCAGCAAAGTTCACTAAATGACAGACAGAACAGCTTTTAATAATGGAAGGGTCAACATGAATGGAAACAAAAATGCAGTGAATGCCATAGAAGGTATGCAACCTGCATTTACAGAAAACACTGTAACTTTAGAGCAGTGCTGATCCTGCATTTGAGAACCGAGAAATGAAATGGGAGCTGCTTTTTGCTGCTGGAGTCAATAAGACAACATTTGGTATTGGACCTGTAACTTTCCACAAATTATCAGGGTACTTATCTTATCAAGATAAGATTAGTGAGACCTGTGGTTTAGACATTAATTCTACAAAGCACTTTTACGTATTGGTCTGCTTTTTTTTCTGCTTTCCTCTGGATGCATCACTGAAACAAGCTACTTTTTTTGGCTAATTCTTACCAGAAAATTGTCGTCCTTGTGATTTGGGTGGGTTTACAAACATGTATTGTCTATCACATTAGATTTGAGTTATAAAACATCACCGCACTACATGTCATACAGCGATTTAAACATGCAAACAGTGTTTTAAAAAGTCATGGGGACTACGGGGCTTTGTTGTTTGGGGTTGATTCCTACTTTCAGTCACTGCTGCCAGATCAGTACCAGCAGTTCCGTGCAGTCAGTGGCGGTTCGGCTCGGTATATGATGGGTCTTGTTTGCCCCCTGGTGGTACCGCTGGAAATGACAACCCGGGCTCGTTTGCCCTGTCCCTCCTGTCCTAAGGGCTGCTGCTCCAAATAATTTGAGTACGCATAACTTTGTGCTCATTTTCTCCTCTTTGTAGGGGAAGGTTACGCTCCTGTGCCTGCAAAATTGAGCCCTTTGTTTTTATCCCACAGGAACATACACTCTACAAAATTATAATAATCTATCGAGATGGGTGTTCAAGCATATAGAATCATAGAATCATAGAATGGCTTGAGTCAGTTGGAAGGGATCTTCAAGATCATCTAGTTCCAACGCCCCTGCCAAGGGCAGGGACACATCCTGCTAGACCAAGTTGCTCAAAGCCCCATCCAGCCTGGCCTTGAACACTTCCAGGGATAGAGCATCCATAGCTTCTCTGGGCAACATGTTCTAGTGCTTCACCATCCCCACAGTAAAGACTACAATTACAGCCAATCACATAGTTATTTCAAGATATAGGAAGCCAACTGAGTTTTAAAAACTGACAGTAAATAACTATGGAAATTCATCCAAATTTAATAACTGCAAAGCAGTTGCTAGGCTCCATCACTGAAAGAATCCAGGGGTTTTTTCTTAATTAACTTGCAGGGTTTTAAAATGCCAGTCTTTTATAACACTTCAGGGGTTTTTTGCACAGTTTATGTAAATTTTTGTATATTTGAAGAAAAAGAAGTAAGCAATATGGGTTTGTTCCAAACTCTGCTTAAGTTAATTAAGATGGAATCACATGAGCTAATACCTAAACCAGAAATAGTACAGTTACACCTCACTGATATAGCTGTGATGCTTTCAGTTCTGTGTTTGAATACTGAACATTATGAACAAACTGCCTTGATTAGCAAAAAAAAAGTGTTACAAAGCTGCAAAGCAGTAATGAAGACTTTTGTGCACGCAGATTAAAAAGTTTCCATAGCTGTTAATAAAAATTAGTCTTCCGTCTCTTCTCTTGTAAAATCACCCAGTTGTGGTAAATTCAGTTTTGTTCAATTATGGCTCTGCTTTATTTCTAATAGAGTTTCATAGTTTTACTGTATCAAGAGCATGAGGTAAAAAACTGTGGCCACAAAAACATAATAACAACAACAACATTATGATACCGTCTTGTATGTCAGCTACATAATTTATTCTTTGTAACCTAAATAAAGAACTAGATTCCAGAAGATTAGGTTGTCAGGGTCTTATGAACTGAACATCTTGGCATCATTTGACAGCTAAAAGAAAATAAAATCGGCATCCCAGATTCATCCCAGCTTCAGAGGCCTTCAGACTACAAAAGATGCCAAAGGCCATTGGTCTGTTGAACCAGCTGGCAATGCAAAAAGAGGAAAGTGCATCATCTGATATATTTAAAACCGCATGGAGATCAGTCCTGAACTGTCAAGGTGATGAACTACTCCTAAAAGGCCTTTTCCATTTTTAATTTCTATTATCAGAATCATAGTTCAAGCTCTATACAAGTGACAAACAATTTCAATTTTTAACTGAAAGTTACCAGAATGGGAAATATCAACAGTCTAAGCACTGTGAGAAAAGGCTGACATTATTTGAAAGAATATTTATGTATGATTAAAAATCAGTAGAGGATCACTCTATACTATCAAACTCTACATACCTATTATCATAATGTCTCTCCTAACTACATGAAGTATGTTTTTTTCTAAAAACTAAAACATTACTAATCTATTTTTATCAGAGAGTGAGAGCCATGTTTTGATTTTTATTACAATTTGTTGTCTTACATCTGCCAAATACATATTATAATTAGCACAAAGGGAATATATTATCGTGAACTATTGGCATTTGGAATAGGATACCAATTTACTGTCTCTGCTTTTTTAATTGCAATAGATAGCAAATATCAGCAGTTTGGCTCTAATGGGAATTCATAAGCTCTGTGGTACAGACCGGAATAGCTAACACACCTGATGCCTTGGCTTCTCTCCTAGTTCTTGCATGGAACTCTTCTCTCTTCTCCAGTTCTTATGTAAACCAAGGAAAACTTCAGGTTTTACCAGCTAACCTGGAAAATAATCTCGCTGTCATTTAGTTTCCGAATTTGTCATTTCTATTATTTAAAATTTACAATTTAATATCAAGCTTTTCATTCTAAGAAGAGCTACTCAGTGGACATCACATGCTCACATATCACAAACCACACAAACTTGTGAAATTCTCACATTAAAAAAAATGCCATTCATCAATTTTGGATATTTACTGTTATCTGAAACTTAGTATTCTGCAGTAAAATTCATGAAAAAATCATGAATGCTAATTAAGCAACAATTTCAATATATTGCAGTAGGGAACAAATGTAAAAACTTCTGCAAAATTTGATCTTAAGTCAGGCAAATAAATTAAAAACAAATTCTTAGGCCTGAATGTCAGTTAAAAAATAAAAACTGATGAAGAATGAAATGGGTGCATAAAATTATTTTTTTTACCAAAGTAGAGAGCTAGAACTTAAAATGAATAAGAGAATACTATTAGCTATGCTTGTGTAATCCACTCATTAGAGAAATCTTTTGTCTATAAAGAAAAGAAACCTTATCTCTTTAAAGAAAAGAAGTAGCGTAAGCACAAATGTAGTTTACAGGATATCCCGCTCTAGGTCAGTGGAACTAATCCCAGTTTTAAGTTAGGCATATAGTTCAGTATATTTCATATTAGCCACCTAACATATAAAAACCAAACAGGTATATACTGATATATTAAACATGCTCTGCAGTTGTTAAAATAGTATTACTTGAACTTTCTTAAACAGCAATTCAAAGGGATAGCTACAGCACATTTGTACAAGCGCATTTGTACTTGCACATTTTTACTTACAAAAACAATTGTGTAAAAGCTCTATTAAAATACCTTCCATTTAAAAAATAGCTATCAAATTTTGTCAGTGAAATATATCATATTGTTTCATAACTGTTGAAAATTAATCTGTGAAATGCTTTTTACCCACAGAATTATGAAATTTCATGTCGCAAAGAGAAAGTTTAAGGAAACACTTCGCCCGTATGATGTCAAAGATGTCATTGAACAGTATTCAGCAGGTCATCTAGACATGTTATGCAGGATTAAGAGTCTTCAGTCACGGTAAGGAAAGAATTAGTCCTACGCATAAGCATCTAATGTCATTCACTGCATACTGTATACTGGCAAAGTTCAACATTTCTGTGTTACACAGCCTCTCTTTCCGTGAACACAGCTGAGCCAGAAATGTAATTGTGGGCAAAACCAAACCAAAAAACTTGTATCTAAACTGTCCTCAGAAAATGGAAGTCTGAACAATAGAAAAGGTAATCTTTTATCTGTAAAGTGCATTTGCAAACAAGGAATTTAGTCAGGAGGCTGCCAAAAGGATGAGGAAGATATATGCCTTTCTCCCACTCGAGGTCTTCTCTTTTCACATAAAAGAAATTGGGAACTACTGGTAACGTAGTATTTATGTAGGTTTTGTGCTATAGATTCCTGGCAATGGTAATTAAGAAAAAAAAAAAACCACAACATTTTATCATATTTACCATTATCAGTATCAGGGCTGAGATTCCTGCTTCAAACTCATAATTCCTCCAGGACTGGAGGCTGTTGTTAGGATGGGAAAGCTGAGGGTGGCACTGGTATGTCTGTTCCTCCACAACATCAGGCTGCTAGAGAGGCCACTTCTTCCCTCCCCCTTTCAGCAAGTCTAGCCTTGGCTCTCCCAGATGATGGCTAACTTCTGGCCCCTGGTTAGTGCCAACAAAAAAGAAAAGCGGTCTCAAATGCTCAAAATTCATTCCTTTTGGGGTTTTTTTATGTTTGTCTTCTTTTTCAAGTGCTTTTTTGAAGTACTGTGATTTTCATTTTTAATGTATGGATATAGCAAACACTTCCATATCATCACTGGTTTCAGGAATTGCAGCGGCTTTTGATTTCTCTTACAGCGTTGACCAAATTCTTGGGAAAGGACAAATCACAGCAGATAAAAGAACCAGAGAAAAGAATCCTGCAGAGAATGAGACAACTGATGACCTCAGTATGTTAGGGCGGGTAGTCAAAGTGGAGAAACAGGTAGAGTGATTATCTGTGTTGCTTGGTCTTGCTTTATTGCTCATGCCTATTCTGTACTTCATTGCCAGTTTCGAAAGCTGAACAGGTAAAATATTTGTTCTTAATATCTGCTTCATTTATATGTTGAAGTAAAGTTTATATGGATCGTATTACCTTAACCTTTTTGTCCCTTTTATAACCTTGCTTGTGAAAAACGTACATGGTTTTTGACGTTCTTTTTCAAGGGTCAATAGCATACACCAAGACCTCTTCATTTTTCTCTTCAGCAGTCACATTTTCTCTTTGCTTGGGTTCCAAACATTTTAAATTAGTATTTGCTACTAATGTCAACCTTTTCCTCTCTTTCTATAGGTACAATCCATTGAGTCAAAATTGGACTGTCTATTAGATATTTATCAACAAGTTTTGCGAAAAGGATCTGCATCTGCGCTCACTTTGGCTTCATTTCAAATGCCAGCTTTTGAATGTGAGCAGACTTCTGATTATCAGAGTCCATCAGACAGCAAAGATTTATCTAATTCTGCACAAATTAGTGGATGTGTATCCAGATCAGCTAGTGCCAATCTGCCTCGTGGCCTACAGCTTATACTGACACCAAATGAATTTAGCACTCAGGCTTACTATGCTTTCAGTCCAGCTATGCATAGTCAAGCAACACAAGTGCCAAATGATGGACCTGCAACAGTTAATAATACATCAAACCAAATAAACCAGGCAACCAAGCCAGCAACTCCGACAACATTACAAATACCACCTTTCTCATCAATGAAGCATATCAATAAGCCTGAGCCTGTTCATATTATTCCTGTAACCACACAGGAAAATATTTCCAATGTCACCGCTTGCCTTGTTGCATCAAAGGATAATGGACGAGTTGCACAGCCCAGTGCAACAAAGGATCTCACGTGGAGAAAAAGTCTGGATACAGAGGGGGAACCTTTGCTCTCAGTTAAACCTGTGGTGCAAATGGACTTAGGAAAATCTTTATCTGTACAAAATCTTATACAGTCTACAGAAGAACTGAATATACAGATTGCTGGCAGTGACTCCAGTGGTTCTAGAGGTAGCCAAGACGTATACTCCAAATGGAGGGAGTCAAAATTATTTATAACTGATGAAGAGTTGGAGACAGAGGCAGGAACAGAGACTACTGAAGCCATCTCACGCCCATTAGTGGAAACAACTCTCTCTGCTGACTCTCTAAGGACTGGAATATCAAGGTCATCTCAAAGCATCTGCAAGCCAGGGGATGGTACAGAAGCACTCAATCTGCTCCATGTCAAACTTAAATAACAGCTTGCTGGCTTTCTTCATTGGCTGGTTCATTCCTCTAGTCATACATATCATAGCATGAACTGTTTTGAAAGCCTTTTTAATAAGATAAAATCACAAAAATCGGGATGAATCTGCAAAGCAGTTGAATGAGCCCATATTTCCTAGCTGCATGAAAATGCATGTTTAATTGATGGCTAGCATCCAAATTTACACCTACAGTATGGTAGCCTTTGATGAAGTACGGTAGGTTTAAATAATGAGTTGCCTACAAAGCTAATGCTGCAGGATGTATCAAAAAGAAAAAAAAAATCAAAAATTTGAGCATTTAGACATAGTGCCGTCGCTACAGGGCAGAAGTAAAAATTGTAAGGTTTAAAGCACTTTGCTTCTGAACTAATTAAATATATATATATAACGTCCTGATTTAGATGATAGTTTATGTTTACAACAAAAAATTATCTACAGCTGCTAGCAAGGTACCAAGGAAATCAGTAATATGGCTAGAAATGCGGGGTTAGAAATGGCTGCCAGTTGCAAGATACACATATTTGCTCATCATTAATCAGTTATTTTTAGCTCTGAAAAACAATAGGTTAACATTCATCCAATTTTTGGTGATTTAGTGCTGTGGCAGAAGCACCTGACACACCACTATCACATTGTTCTTCATAAAAAGAAAACTATTTTGCTACAAAAAGTTTGTATTTTAAGGATTGGGGCTGGCCTCAGAAGGGGATAATGCGGGTGGCTACACTGAGAATTCAGGGGAATCGCTCCTCCCAGTCTCATTGAGAAGCTGTCTTGTGAATCTGAACCATTTTGGCAGCAATAGGCGAGGGAAGGAAGCAGGCGCTGCCTTCATGTTAGAAGCAATATTTCCTTCTGTGGAAATTTTGGCAATTTTCCTTGCAGTCCCAATCTGATACTATGACAGCACTTCATAAGGCTGAGAAAGGAGGGAAAACAAGGAACTGAAATACAAAGTAAAACTAAAGAGGACAGAACAGAGGAGAGAGAAAGACAACACAATCAATGTAGAAATAAATAATAACACAGATTTAGATAGGCAGGAAGGGAAATTATCCCATAAAACAAGAAAGGTAAAGAGGGGAAAAGTTACTTTTTTTTTTCCCCACAGATAATTTGTGCTAGTTTGAAAAAAAAGCCGCATAGGCAATCAGAAATTAAAATAGAAGTAGATAAGATCGCCTTAACTGAAAAAAAAAAAATAAGGCAAGGGTTTGTTGCTTTTTTAATAAAAGGTGATGAGGAGAGAGAGGGAAAGTGGTAACACTCTTAGATCTTAACTGTGTCCCAATGGCAGTCATTTTTTTGTGAACTTTCCAAGACAGAGCTTTCAGACTCCTTCCTCCGAATACCCAAGTTTTCAGATTCAAAGCCTACATCAAACTGAGCATTCCTGCCTGATATATCCTCTTTTTTTTCTTACCCTAACCTACACTTCACTTCTGCTGAGGTGCAGGAGCAGCGTTAGTGCCTCTCTGCACATCCCCAACAATGCTCTCCTATTGGGAGAACCCTTGCGCAGCCTAAGCAGCCTGCTGCCTTTCCCAGCTGAATGAAGTTTCTGTGTGTGGCCTCCTCTCAGATTTACACCCCACCTGCACCACGGGCTTGTAGACAACCCAGTTTGGGCTCAGCTTCCCTCTAGCACCAGGAATACCGAATGGTATGGGGGTGCCAGTGCCAGCTCACTCAGGGCAGTGTGTTCTCAAGGCCCAGACCCACTGGGAACTTACTATGTACATCAAAAACATCACTCCAGTCTTAACCATGGCTGAATGCTGTAGATTGTATTGTGAAGGACCTGATCTGTTTACTATGAATCCATTGTAACTTCTGCTTCCATATTTCCTTTAAAGAAGTATTCCTGGATGTTACATGACAATTTTATTATGTGAAAGTACATGCAAACTGTAGAGTGTATATATTGTGTCATTATATGGGGTCCACGGACGGTACACTGTGTTCCATGGCTTACACCGGAGCAAACTTCAGTTGTTAAATCCTGAAAGACACCTTGAAGCACAATTTCCTCACTGCTGATTTGCCATATAATTTACCACGTTCAGCCTTTCCTGTTTTCTTTACTTGCAATCTGATCATACTAAAGCCTGATTACAACAGTAATTTTGTGAGGATAAATACGTTTTTTTTCACATCTCAGTTCACTTAACTATTAACTTATTTGAATGTCTGCAGTTTATCCGGACAGATCTGTAAGTTTAAACTATCAAAAATTTAAAAACTTAGAATCTTTTTTTAATTTTCTTTTCCTTTTTCTTAACCCTTTATGGTGCCTTTCTTGCCTTTCCCATGAAGCCTCCTGCTGACCTAAGCATAAATATGCAGTTAGGGTTCAGTTAAGGAGAAAGAGATCGGGCACATGGCAATTGTGTGCCTGTAATGAAACTCCCTTCCCCTCCTTGAGGAGATTGAAAAATCAAGGCATCATGAATTGAACACCACTTTTCCACCTTCATCTATGTAAGCAGATGATTGCACCACATTGCATCAATGGGATAACTGAGCATTGCCCCTGCCTGTACCAATTCCACACAGAAACAGGGCCTTGGGTTTTGCTGATAATTTATCTCACGGAAACTTGGTATTTTTGCCTTAAATGACATGCCTGAGTCCTTCTAATTTTAAGTTAATTTATTTAATACAACTTTGTGCACAAAAGAATAAGTTCTATAAATGATGTATGAAAATGTTAATATCTTTACAAAGTACTAATAAATCTAGAAGATCATATCTTTTCAAATTATAGTTTAAAATCCTAATTTGTTTTCTTTTATGCTCATCATTATTATTTTTGCAGCTGCAAGTCTTATCATATAGGGTTTTTTAACATAATATTGATAGGAAATAGAAAGAGTAGTGAATATAAGAAATTTTAAAGAGGAAGAATTGTTTGTTTGGATTTTTTATAAGTTTTACTTATATTTCCTCATGAGGAGTTTCCTGTTTCTATGCTCTCTCTTTGAAAGACAGTGTCATGACTGACAATCATTCATTAGTTTCACAAAAGAAGGGCCTGTCTGGCTTTTCAAGTCTTGTTCTGAGCTGCTTAATAAAATCCAGCTCATGACAGCTAATAAGAAGTGTTCATGAGTCGGGACAAAAGACAATTTTTTTTCTGATTTACAATCCACTTGAGGATTGTTGGACGAGAGAATTCGAACTTAAGTAAAAGCTTCAGGAATTAAGCATTATCCAAATAACTGTTTTCTGATCAGCATGTTCTTCTACCTGAATGGAGAACTGAATAGTTTTGATGACTATTATTTGTTTAAGAATTTGTATTTGCTCCTGGCTTATATTATCTATACTTTTTATTTAAATATGAATATGATGTTTTAGCCTAGGGTTCGAGATTGCAAAGATCATACACTTTTATTCACAGTGCCCACAGTTGTTCCATGTTTTTGAGATAATCCTATTAGAGTGACTGCTCTCATTATAGTATGGTGATGAGTAATTCACCTGCTTTTGTGATAAGTCAAATCATGCTGAATGGCTGATGTATAGTAGACCATCTGATGTACTGTAGTATTTCTGGATTGGGACCTGCAATCCTTACTCAAGCAAAAATTCTATGGAATTCATTCATTTTATGAAATTCAAGAATTTTTCTTGAAATGGGAACTCAGTTTCAAATCCTGATTTTGTTGGGCATCTGTTTAAAGTGAAAATGGTAATATTCCAGTTATTTCCTGAGGAAACTAATACTTAGCTGAATTTACCCATGTCACATTGACTATATAAAAAATAACGCACAAAGTACTGATGTAAAAAGGGAAGAAGTGAAGGGACAATTTTAAAAAGCACAGAGAATAATCAGAAAATTGGAGCAAGCAGGAAAATATAACAGCAAAGGAATGAAAAAAGGGTTTAAACACCTGAGGCTAAATTCATCCTTGGATGGCTTCACTGACTTCAATGCATTCACTGCCCAACTGAGTGAAGCTCTGCCTCCGTTGGGATAACCAGGCTCAGTTCCACTGACCTTAAAGGAACTGAACCCACATATACCAGAAATGAACTTGCCTCTCTGGGCCAACTTTTATCCTGACTCCTATGTCATGCAATCCTTTTGGATTCACTAGGTTTGAATGAAATACAGGTCAGAAAAGAATTTGTCCCAGATATTTCTGCTTCACATTTTTTTCCAAGTGTGTTAATTGACTTAATTCAAGTGGATTACAACATTACACAACGTCCTGTCACTGTCTAAAAAGGTTAATTAGTTTTTGAAATAAGACTTGTCCCCTGCAATGTCAGTGGAATCATGCAATATTTTCCTGTCCGTTCATCTGGATGCAAATGTGGCCATTCATTCAGTTGTGGCCACACATAGGACAATTCCAGACATACCCAATATCATCTGCTATTGGAAGAATTTTTGACTTCTTTGAAAGCCAAAAGACAGTTTTGTAGCAGGCTTAGAAAGCACGATGGCTGCTTCCACTGACACTGCAACAACATTAGCCAGTACATTACAATGTTAATTGTAAATTCTTGACAAAGTTGAATCCATATTGTTGTTAATAAAAATTATTTGAAAAGTACCATGCTTACTCATTTTATTCCTTACATAAAAGATTGTTTGGTGTGACCACATATCAAGCAAGAAAAAAAAAATTTAACTTGGTCATTGTTTTCCTTTTGAAGTTTTGTAATTTTTTATTAAATGAACATCACAAAGGAAGTTCATTAGAATAAAATGCACAGGAACCAGTCTGACATGTTCAGTTTCTGATAACTGTTTACAGCAAAGTTTACTTAATGTTGCAGCACCTCTGTGAAAATGAATGTGGAAGTTATTATTGCCTTCCCTGTTAGATAAATGGCAATTGATTCAGGATTAGCAATCAGGGACCTGTGCAGGGAGCAGGATTCCTCATGGAAGGCACTTCAGTTTAACCTGAGGCCTAGGTGAAGCCCTTTCTTCTGCATTCAGCCATTAAAGTTGCTCTAGAATGTTACTGCACCAAATCTAAAACAATCGTTCACGACACACCTTCTTTCCCCAGTGTGCTCTTCCCACAGCCCTGCTGAAGACAACTTTCATTAATTGAGTATAAAATACTAAATATAGAGAGTCCGTGCTGTAGTGAAGTTACTGCCTCTACGGAAGCTTCAAAATCAGAGCCAGACACCTCCAAGTACAGGTGATCTCCTGCCTCTCTGCTGAATGGAACCTTAGATACTGAAATTTAAAGATGCAGTTGCCAGAAAGGAGATTTCCGTG